CGGCCCCGGGACCTCATGTCATGTTAGATTTGGCTCCACTTCGAGGCCTGGGCTCACGGGTTCAGATTCTGGGCACAGACCTACACCACTTGTCAGCCATGCTGTGGAGGCACCCCACGTACAAAATAGAGGCAGAGTGGCACAGATGTTAGCTCAGGGCTAATCTTTCTCAGCAAAAAAATAAAAAAGAAAAAATATCTTTGAGATTGTTCCATATTAGTACATACAGAACTGTTCTTTTTAACAGCTGCATAGTGTTCCACTATTTGGATGTGCCAGAGCCTGTCCAACTAGTTCTCTATGGATGGACAAGCAGGTTGTTTCCAGCCCTTGGTACCCCAGGTAATGCTTCAGTGAATATCCTGGTACATACATCTTTGTGCATATGTCTAAGTTTAGCTATAGATTAATTTCCTATAAATGAGTGCTGTGTTAAAGAGCATGTGAATTTCAAATTTTGATAGACAGTGCCAACCAAACTGCTTTCCAAAGATGTCAGTCCGTGTTGTATTTTAAAACTCTGAAAAGTTTGCGTTCTCCTCCATAATGTATCTTTGTTTATCTTCATGAAACACATCCTCCCCTAAACATTCTTAGTCCCTTTGACAAGCCAGGAAGTTGTGCAGTATGGATCTGTTGGCTTCGCACGTGCCCGGGACACTCCCATGGAGCTCCTCCTCCCGCCTGGTGTGATCTGACCCCTGCTCACCCTTGGCTTCATCTTGTCCCACTCCGCATTCCGCCGTACTGGACTCCTTCCAGTTGCTCTTTGTCGGCCACACCTGGAGTTGATAGGAAGCGACAGAATGGGCACTCTGGCTGAGAATGAGGTCTCAGACGAGCCCAGAATCCTCTTTTGAAAGGAGTTGGATGCTAGGTTGACTCCTAGAGCAACAGGGAGGCCTAGAGGGAGTAAAAAGGTCAGAGTGCTAGATCAGCGTTTTAGGAAGATTATTTGTTCCTTCATTGGCCTCCTGCTCCCATCACTCTCCCTCCAAAAGGCCCTCACCAGTGGCCTCCACATTACTCAGTCCAACGGGCACTCTTCGATCCTGACTTTACGTGACATTTCTCAAAGCCGATTTTACTTGACCTCTCGCAGCACTCAACACAGTTGTTAACCCCTGCTGCTCGCAACTACTGTCCCCTGATTTTTATGTCTCTGCCCTCTTGTTTTCCTTCTCCCTTTCTGGCTGTCCTTTCTCAGTTTTTCACGGTGTCCTTTTCTACCAGGGAGAAGTCTGACATGTCAGAGTTGCTTAAGGTCTGATCTGGCTTGCTATAATCTTTCTCCCCTACGCTTTCTCTCATGACCCATTAGGAGATTGTAAAATCAATTTAATGAGTCATATAAGAATCTTATAAAAGAACAAAACAATAGAAAACATTAAGGCACACCACCCACAAGGTTAATATTGTTTCTTTATATATACAAACTTGTTTCTTTATGTGTAAGTACACACATGCATGTATCTGATGGCTGCAATGTAAAATGTGTATCTTACTATGGGATGTAGTTAGGGTTGGAAAGCCATTGCTATAGGGACTCTTAGGTTTCTTTCTCAAGCCCAGAACTCTCCTTAGAATTTAAGACCTGCGGAACCATCTATTCCATACCTCCCCTTAGACGTCCTCTATGGAGACTTAAAACTCAACACATCCAAATCCAACTCAAGCCCTTCCTCTCAGACTTGGATTTTCTCCTCTGTTGTGCATCTTGGGGAAGGGCCCCACCATCTATCCACTTGCAGAAGCTGGAAACTTGGGAGTCATCCTTGGGACTTACCCTTCCCCCAGCCCATGTCTAAGTCTTGTTGACTTAAATCCCTAAATATCTCTTTACCCTGCCTGCTTTCCTCTTCTCTTTCCACCATCCAGCTCCAAGGTACCCTCACCTCTCACCTGGGTAAACTGGACTTCTTTCCACTTGGGCTCCCTTCTGACCCATTCTCTACAAAGTATCCTGAATGGTCTTTTAAAAGTACAATGCCAGGACCAGCCCCATGGCTTAGTGGTTTAGTTTGCCGTGATCCCCTTTGACAGCCTGGGTTTGGTTCCTGGGCATAGGCCTACTCCACTCGTCAGCAGCCCTGCTGTGGCAGTGTCCCACGTACAAAATAGAGGAAGATTGGCACAGATGTCAGCTCAGGGCAAATCTTCCTCACGAAAAAAAAAAAATCCAAAAAAACCCTGATCATGTCACTTCCTTTAAAAATCTTTCAATGGCTTTCTCATTCTTAGACTCAAATTCTAAACACGGCTGACCAGCACTCCCAAGATCTGCAGCCTTATTTTGTGCCATCATCTCCCTCCCCCTCTCTGTACTGTAACCACAGCTGTGCTAGATACGGTTGGTTGGCAGACAGCATCCATTCCCACTCTGTTTATGTGCCTTCCTGGGCTACACATGCTGGAAAGCTGAAACATTTCCTGTCTCCCTTGCAGCTAGGGCTCCAGCGAGTAGATGCACTTGCATGAGATCTGGAAGGTGGAAGTAAGGCAGTAGTCGAAATTTCGGCTGTTTTTGTTTGTAAGGTCATGGAGACACGAGTGTATAGTCTCTGGCTTCAAGGACGAGACATTTCACTATCCTGGCAAGAGCACTGGCAGTGGCTTTCTGACCCCAGCAGGTCAGTTCTGTGGTGTTCAAGGAGTCACTCCGAACACCCAGCCTGTGGCCCATCACTTTCCTCACTTCCCAGAGTGGTTTGTTTCTAAACCTGCACTGATACACAGGACTTCACTTGGTTTCTAGAATTGACCATCCCTCCTCCTGCTGTAGGGTTGTTACCTTATGCCTTTTGCCTAGGCAACTACCCTCATCACCCCTTAACTCCCACGACCCCTTCTCAATTAACTCACATATCCTTTCAATCTCAGTTCAAACATTTTCTCTAGAAAGTTATCCCTGACCCCTATGACCAGACATTCTCCTTTATTACATTATTACATTTTGTAGTATTGCATTATTACAAAAAAATATATTATATTATTACCAAAAATAATGCATAATACAAAATATTGCATTATTACAAAAAATTGCATTATTACAAAGCATTGTTACAATTTGTAATTATGTATTTATGTGAGTCTAGAATTTGAGCCCTAGAGGACCTATTTTTTTTTTTTCTTTTTTTGCTGAGGAAGATTTGCTCTGAGCTAACACCTGTGCCAATCTTCCTCTATTTTGTATGTGGGTCACTGCCACAGCATGACCATTGAGTGGTGTAGGTCTGTGGCTGGGAACTGAACCCGGGCCACCTAACCAGAGCACACTGAACTTAACCACTAGGCCATGGGGCCAGTCCAGGACTTGCCTATTTTGTTGTATTCCATTGCCTAGAAAGAGATGGTGCTTAATGTACATGTGTTAAGTGAATGAGTGGAATGGAGGTGGCCAGACTGGAAGGTATTAGGACAAAATCAAGCCTCTTAAATTTTGTCACCTCCTCTTGGCCTTTTCCCAACCACATCTTCCTGTGACTCTCTAGCCAGCCTGAACATGCTGTGTGCTCTGACCTCCAGGTCTTTGCACAGGCTGTTTCTGCTTGGATATCTCTTCCTTCTTCATCTGGCTCTTATTATTGCAGGTTTCAGTGGAGACATCATCATTTCTTCTAGGAGACCTGTACTTGAGACAATTCTATACTCTTTGTTTCTGAATATTTAAAAATACTTAATTTAAAAATTGCTTGCTTGTTCCTTATCTGTCTGTCCCTCCGCAAGTGCACTGTCTTGTTCATGGCTGTACACAGAGCTCCTTGCACAGGGTCTGGCTCTAACGGCCCTCAGTATTTGCTGAAAGCTGCACGAGTGAACGTCAGCTAGTCGGCCAGCCTCAGTCTGGGGATCTTGGTACACTCCCCAGGAGCCCATCAGCAGTGAGGAATTGTAATTTGGGGGCTGCTAGATCAGGAGAGGAAGCTGGGGGAGGTTTGTTCCGCTCCAGCCCGTGGCACAGTCCCCAGACCGCCAGGCAGGAGGCCCTAAAGCAGATCCTGTGGGGGATGGGCAGGGAAACAGTTTCTTCCTCTGCTCCCTCCTGGAGGGTTGGGGGGAAGGGCAGAGAGAGGGAAGATTCCTTCCAAGGAGGCTCCTTGGCACAGTGCCCACTTGAAGGGGGCGGGGAGCGTGATGAATGCAGGCTTTCTCCCCTGGCCTCCAGCCTCCAGCCCTGCGAGGAAGGGACACCCATGGCAGAGAACGGACAGAGATGAGGGATTACGGAGGGGTCTGTTTGCTTTGGGAGACAGGAAAGAGAGGGGCTGAGCCACTCTAAAAGGCAGGGTTCCCAAGAGCCAACCATGCCTCAGTTACAGCAGATTAGCTCTGGACATATCCTCAAATCACTCTCAAAACATCAGTATATTGGGAACTTTAATTCTTAGGATCAGGCCATCTGAACATCTCAGAGCTGGGAAATCCTTCAGAGGGCTGTGTCTGGGGTCTCCAGGGCTGGCCTGGACCAGTGAGTCAGTTCTCTGGGGAGTTTGCTGGACTCCTTCTCTCTTCCTCCTTTATAACTGGAAGAGATGGACTTTTTTCTTTACAGCCCATGAATACTTTGCATCCAATTTGTGGCACTTAGAACTGCAGGGTGACGAGGCTGACATCTCCCCCTCTGTTTTCCCATTGGTTGTCATCTCACGACAGCAGTCTCTCTCATTCATCTTAGCACCCTTCAGAACCCTGGTCTCAAACCTGACTGCTGGTCAGAATTGCTTAGGGATGCTTCCTGAAAACATTTTCACTCACTCCAGTGACTGATTCCTTGGAGCTGAGTCAGGACTTAAAACTTAACAGTGCACTAGGTGATTGTGATGCACGGGGTTTGGGTAACAAGTCCAAAGGGCCTGGCACAACACGACAGGTGCTAAGTATTGCCTGCAGGGGCTGGAAATGTATTTGCAGGGTAAACAGTGGTGGGTAGAAAGTATGGATTGAACTAGGGTCTGTATACCCGTGCATCTAACACTTTGAAAGGAAATAGCACAGCAGTGTTAGCAATACAAAAGATAAATATTTATTCAGAACAAAACTTTTAACAATCGGTTTTACATTCTAAGCCACAAGGAAATAGCAAAACATAAAGCAAAGACAAAAACTAAAAGAAAAGCAGTGTACTGTCTTTTCTACTTTAACTTGATAACACTTAGTTGACCCAATGCCCTCTCGCTTGGCCTATTTCGCAAGTACATTTTAGAGCTAACAGCTCACTCATAATTCCGGGTTAAAATTGCCTTCTCTGGAGAGGTAGGAGATCGCAGATGAGCTCCACTTAGCTGCTTCTCTGGGGTTTCTAGCTACTGAGGCTAAGGCGCAAATGCAAACCTCTGGTAGGTTTCCCTACTCAGGAGCACCCCCATTTCTCACTGGTGGCAATGAAAGGGGAAGGGGAGGGCCCAAAGGAGCTGGCACGCTTCAATCCACATACGATACCCCAGGGAGCAACAAGTGCACCCTGCATTACCTTCCTTTGTCCCTTCTCTATCTCCCAAGTATTCAGAAGCCCCTGCTAAATCTTCTTTTTCTGCTTCCTCCTTCAGATGACTTCTTGGCATTCCTCTAGGCTCATTATTCTGGAGAGATCAGACTTTCTGGGCCCTCAAGTGTTGAGGAGTATGTTGTGAAGTGTGAGAGGTAGTGGAATGAGCACCGGGCTTGGGGTCAGGGAACTCTACTCTAGGCTAGCTCTGGCACCAGACAGCCATGTGATTTTGACCCAGTCATTTAACCTCTCTGGGCCTGTTTCATCGGCTGGAAAACCAGGGGATTGGTCTAAACCAACTTTTAGGTCATTTCCAGCAGGAAAATTCTAAATTCCGTGATTCTCTGAAAAATGGCTTCTGAGCCACTGAAAGAGCTATCACAAAGTCCATGCATTTGAATGCCATAAGAGAGGCCCTTGGCCACCATTCAGAGCTTATTGACTCAGATTACATACACTTCTAACAACACTGGTTTCACAAATTCTCAGACCACATAGATTAGAAGCAGCAAATTAAAAGGGGAAGGGAAGAGCTGCAAAAGATAGACACCCTGACAGAAGCCACAGGCAGCAACATCCTCAATTCAACAACACTGATCGAGTGCCTACCACGTGCTGGGCCCCAACCTAGCGCTGGGGCATGACGACGAGCAAGGCAGCCCAAAGGGTGATCATCCGGGGAGAAGACAAGGCGTGGGGAGTAAAAATTACCAAAAAAAAAAAAAAAAAAAAAAAAATACCCCAAATACAAAAACAAAATATTAAAAAAGGAGGGACGACATATCTGCACACTACAGTTCTTGGTAGTCCTTATTGATGACAGAGTCACCAATTGAGAAAAGGCTGAAATGGAGTAAACTCGGTTTAAGAAGGCAGAGAGAGATGTCCTTTGTAGGTTTAAAAAGATCTCCTTCAAAAACGATAAAAAAGGGTTTCAAAAAAAGTTTTGGCACTTCAGAGGGGTAAGCTGGCTCTGTGTTCACCCTGGCGGGCAGGCGGGTTGTTCAGTGCCCGGCCACGCCGGTTAGCTGAGCTGCCACGGAATTGTGAACCGCTTTGGGACACTGGGCAAAGGCGTGTCCTCGCTTGCCACAGAGGTTGCACACGATGCCCTTCCGGCAGTAAGGGCTCAGGTGCCCCTCCTCCCCGCACCTGAAGCACCTGTCCTGCGTGCAGCTGCCACTCATGTGGGTCCGGGAACCACATTTAAAGCACGTCTTGGGCTGCCCCTTGTACCAGCTGTAGCCCCGCTCGGCGCCCAGGAAGAAGGCCCCCGGCAGGTGCCGGACCCCGCCCTCCCCCTGGCGCAGCTCGATCTCGCACTTGTACTCCCCGGTCCAGATCCCAAACCTGTCGGTCACTTTCACGGGCACAGCCAGCACATCGCAGTGGCGCTTGAGCCAGGTCACGATGTCCTCCACGTCCACCGTCTCGTTCCGGAAGAGGATGAAGAGCGTCTTCAAGCTGGACTTGCTCCGCCCTAGCACCACAAAGTTCTCCCAGCAGTCCTCCTGCTCGCGCTTCTCCTCGTAGATGCGCAGGAACAGGGCCAGCTTCTCCGCCGAGCGGAAGCTCACGTCGAACTCGCGGCTGCCCGGGATCTGGATGACCGCGTAGATGTCGCTCGGGTCCATGCCGATGGAGCGCAGGATGAGCGCGCCCACCACGAAGTCCCGCGTCGGGCAGGCGCCCTCGTCGCCCTGGAAACAGATGCGCACGAGGAAGCGGCCCTTGCCCGGGGCCGCCGCCGCCGCGGGCTCGTCCGCAGGGGGCCGCTCGGCCGCGTCCTCGGCCGCGCTGGGCCGGGCCGGGACCGCCATGGCCGCCGCCGCCGCCGCCTCGGCCTTCTTCCTCCGGCCCGCCTCGGCCGCGCCCTTCTTCTTGCGGGGGTCTGCCGCCTCGCCGGCCGGGTCTCGCCGGCGGCCCTTTGGGTCCCCGCGGCCGGCCGGGGGAAAGTCGCCGAGGCCCGGCGCCGCCAGGCCCGCGGGGACCCCGAGTCCGCCCCCCGCGCCGCCGCCGCCTTCCTCCTCCCGCCGCGGCTGCCGCGACTCGCGGAACTCGCCCTTCTTCTCGGCCAGGTTCTTCACCACCTGGGCCCAGCCCATCTTCTCGCGGGCGCCCTCAGCCTCCTCGGCGCGGGCCGCCGAGCGCGCGGGGGGCAGGAGCTGCGGCCGCCCCCGCTTCCTCTCCTCCTCCGCGCCGCCGCCGGTGGCCATTTTGCCTCCTTCCCAGCATCCTCCTCTCGCCCCCGCGGCCGAGGGGCGCCCATCGCGCGCGCCCGCCCGGGCTGTGGGGCTCTGGCTTTTTTCTTGCTTTTTTTTTTTTCTTGAAATTCGACTCTTCTCTACCCCGCCCCGCCAAAGGTATTTCCTCGCGGCGCGGAGCGGCCAGCGGCGGCCGGCGCCCCCTGCGAGCGAGCGGCCGGGCCGAGCTTCCGGCCGGGCCCGCTGCAACCCCACCTCCCGGCGGCGGGGCGGGCCGGGGCGCGGGGCGCGGGCCTGACCCCGCGCGGGCTTGGCAGCCCGGGCCTCGCTCTCGAGGATTTGGTCTTTCGCAAGCGGTGCTCGATGATTTCATTCAGGCAGCGTTCCTAACGGCCCGCAGCCCAAAGGCGGGACAGAGTAGAGGAAGATCTCGCCCTCTTGTTTTCTTTTTTCTCCTTTTCCTCTGAAAACAAAACAAAACTTCGCTCTCCTTCCTCCCGAGGCGTACTACAATGCATTATTTTTCCAACGGCGGATTAGGAACATTTTCAAACATACAGAAAGTTGAAAGGCTTTTACAGTGAACGTTTTACCTTTAACTTTTTACTGCTTTAGCCTTCTATCATTAAAGTTTTACTTTACCTTATCACATGACATGTCTATCCATCAGTCCTTATTTTTTGGTACATTTCCGAGTAAGTCATACTGCATTATTTTTTTTAGAAAGACTTCCATCATACTCATGATTACAGTTAAAATATTTTGAGCGTTTAAGTGCCCGCTACTGTTCTAAGCACGTTGCAAGCTTTATCACATGGAACGGTCCAAAACAATGCTGTCATTATACCCATTTTACAGGAGGCAGAGGCTTGGAGACAATCGCTCGTCAAGTGGCCGAGTTAGGCGGCCCCACGTGTAGGTGGCTTATATTTCTGCAACAGCTTTGCTTCTGACATTGTAGATCAAGGACTGTTTGCATCAGCCTCTCCGGGAAACCTCTGTAACACAGAGAGTCCCTGGCTAGAGTTAGCACAGGACAGAATCTGTTCCTCATCTGTCTCAACTGGGGCTTTGGAAGCATTGATAAAAATTTGAGTGGTTGAGGGGATGGGTTTAACATCAGTTTTTGTCAGCTTTGTTTTCTTTACACGTATCTGTACGCATTTCAGGGTGCTTCAGTAACCTGTCTGACTTTAGTGGGAAAAAAAAAAAAGATGGACTGTGGAGTCAAGAGACCCTAGTTTGATTGCTTCAAATCTCAGGCTTGTCACATGGGGCCAATGACCTCAGTTTTCGTAGCCTAGATTTGTTCCTCCGTAGCAAAGAGTTATTAATATCCACTCTCAGAGAACTAATGTGGGGATCTAAGGAGATAGCCCATGTCGTGGAGCTTGGGCCATGATGGGTTTCCGGGAATGATTATGCTTCCTTTCTGCCTTGGACTCTTTCCTCTTTCTCTCCCAGGTCTTCCGCTTCTACTTAGCATTTTGGAGTCCCGGTGAGTTCTTGTCTTAAGATCTTTCCCTTCACTCCAATTCCACATATTGGTCTCTGGGAAGCCAACATCTCCAACTGTTGCACCATGTGGGCCTTCTAGTTCCCCCACTTTATAACCTCTGACATGGTTTCCTCCATCCTTTCTTTGCCACACATCCCATGATCATACTCGGGTCGTTATCAGAAACATCAAAGTCATGGGTTCACACATTCCTCTCTTTTATTCTTTCTGCTTGTCTGGCCAAGTCTTTCCTTGGGAGAGGTTATTTACAAAACCAAACAGAACTTATGTATTTTAAATAATCTCTTCCATTCCTCTTACCCTAACCTCCCACCCCAGGTAACTATCACACAATCAAATATCTACACCAGGTACCTTAAGTCAGAAAAATGTGCCGGGTGAACTGGAGAGCACATATTCTATCTGAAGGGACAGTCGCTAGTCAACGCCAGCTGATTATTGTTCTCCGTAAGTGAGGGCCCACTGTGGCCACGTCTTCCAGTTTCTAAACAGAAATCTGAACTCTGGTTTCTCTTTTTTCTGGGAAACATCCTTCCTTCTTCTTCTTTAAGGTTGTCTCCGCTATATTTGGATCCTCCGTATAAATTTTAGAGTCAGCCTACTAAGTTCCAGGAAACCACTTTTTGGGATTTTAATTGGAATTGCATTGCATTTATGCCATTTTATAATACTAAGTCTATCTGTCTATGACCCTACTAGATTTCTGACTTAAGTCTTATTTTATGAATTTCAATAACATTTAATAGTTTTGTCATAAAGGTCTTGCATAATTTTTTTGGGTCCTGGCTCACTCTCAAATTTTACTAACCATATCTTCTTCTACTGTAAGATTTTGTTGGTACATGTATGGCCATCCTCTCCATCAATTCCATCTTTTCTCAGGTCAATTTTTCAGATCCAAGTTTTCTATATTCTCTTTTGGTCATTTTGTGGTTTTGTTTCTTGTTGATTATCACTATCAGCAGTGTTCACTGAAAATTGGTTGAAAGACTGAACATTTATTCATCACAGCATTACTCACAATAGCCAGGATGTGGAAGCAACCCAAGTGCCCATCAACAGATGAGTGGATAAAAAAGATGTGGTATATGTATACAATGGAATACTAATCAGCCAGAAAAAAGAGACAAAATTGTGCCATTTGCCACAACATGGATGGACCTTGAGGGTATTATGCTAAGCGAACTAAGTCGGGCAGAGAAAGACAAATGCTATGTGATTTCAGTCATATGTGCAAGATAAACACACACATAGATAAGGAAAACAGATTAGTGGTTACCAGAGGAGAAGGGGGAGGGGTAGTTTGAAAGGGGTAAAGGGGCATGTGTATGGTGATGGATAGAAACTAGACTGTTGGTGGTGAACATGATGCCGTCTGTGCGGAAACTAAAATATAGTGATGTACACCTGAAATTTACACAATATTGTAAGCCAATGTGCCCTCAATAAAATTATTTTAAAAAATTTAAAAAGATGGGACATTTGTTCTTATTTCTCAGGGAGTTTATTTAAATATTGTCAGCCATTCTCTTCAGCAGCCTTCCAGCAGTGGGATTAGTCTACTGCAGAGATCTCTGAACCTGGAGCTACAGGGCTCGGCAGGCACCCTGTGAGCAAAGCAGTCCAGATGGGCACCGAGACCATCTAAGGAGGGCAGCCTTTACTTGTTTCTGGCAGATTATTGTCACGGAGGGCTATCAGAATTGGTCAGTTTGGCATCTCAGTCCAGGTTCTTATTGGCAGACTTTTAGGATTTGCACTATTTTGTAAAGGCTAATTTGGAGACCGTGGAGGAGGCCTGATTTGAGACGGACCTTGAGAGAAGCAGATTTTGGAGAGCCAGAGAGAGAAAAAATCTGTGGAATTAGAATTATTACCCCTATTTGCAGATGAGGAAATTAGGCTCAGAGAGGTAAAGTGAGTTGCCCAATGTCACAAAGCTAGTAGTAGCTTAGTGACTGTCAAAATTTGAACCCACATCAACCCAACTCCAAAGCTTATATGCTTAGCCACTTAGGTACTTCTGCCTCGTGTCTGTAAAATGGAGACAATGATGCCCACCTCAAGGTTGCTATTTACTGACAATTTACATTCATGGTTGTCTTGGCACACAAGATGAGCTCTCTTCCTTTTAAGGGCATGACCAAAAACTTGCAAACATTTCTTCTGCTCGCTTCACATTTGCCAAAACCTAATCATATGGCCACACTTAGCTGCAAGAAAGGCTGGAAAATGAGGTCTTTAATTGGGCAGCCCATGTGCCCAGTAAAAATTCTAATACTTCAGAAGAAGGGTAGAGTGGCTATTGGAGGCCATTAGCAGTGTTAGCCACAATGGTGTTAATCTTCAAACAAAACAGTGAAATAGGCATTGTTGTGCCTCTTTTACTGATGAATAAACTGAAGCTCAGAGACATGAAGAAACTTGCTTAAGCAGGGATTGGAATCCTGACCCGTATTTGCCCCACCATGTTCTGCTCCCTCCCCAGTGAAACTGTTTCTTATGAGCTCTGCTGCTTCTCATTTATTTTCTCTCACTCAGTGGTATGCTCTTAGCTCGGGTGTCTACACTCCAGGGCTGTGAATCTGCTTCCAAGTGATTATTCTCTGGCACTGTGATCACATCCCAGAGGGAGAAGATAGTGGACTGGCAAAGTGCAGTGGGGCCACATGTGTGAGTTGTTCCTTTAGGATTTGCAGCAGATGTTGGAAAACAAAGCTACAAACTGCAATCTCTTCACCAAGAAGGAGAATAGCAGGCTGACCCAGGAGAAGGAGGCCGAGGCCAAGGGAGGAAGGAGGCACTTAACCATCAGGGTCTGGGTGAATCAACCTCCGCTTAATCCACGGGAAAGAGAAGCTGTTAGAGTCCATGAAAGGGACATCAGCAGAAGTCTAGTATCATGTCCATGTGGACAAACTCTTCGACTTTTTTTCTGAGATATGTCTTGGCATGGGGCATGGGGGTGCACATGCACAGAGAGGGAGCTGGAATGCAGGTACCAGAGCATCTCCTGTGATATCGTCAGGTTCTGCCTGACTCTTAGCAGACCCTGCCAGCAAAGGAGCATCTTGTGAAGTATGGCTTGGGGTCTAGGCTGATGGTTTCTGAGATGCTCAGGTCTGCAGATGCCAGGTCTATCGCATCAGCATGCAAGCAAATCCTGTCAGGCTGTGCACATGGATTCTGGCCCTTCGGGACCACTTCACTAAGTTTGTCCTCCTATGCCCTCTGACCCCCAGGTGGGTCCGGGAGGACATCCTGTTCGATATCTTCACTGTGTTCAGGGAGCCCAGAGTCTTGCAGACCAGCGCTGATGATATTTCTTCATCCAGATTGGCAAGGGGCTCATGCAGATGTGGTGGAACTGAAGATGGTCCATGAATGGTGACAGGGCTCCATGGGTGGAGCCCACGGCATTATGCAGCCTATACTAATTTCCTAGGGCCGCCATAATAAAGTGTCACAAACTGGGTGGCTTAAGACAACAGAAATGTATTCTCTCACAGTTCTGGAGGCTGGGAGTCCTCAATCTAGGTGTTGGCAGGGCCATGCTTTCTCTGAAGCTTTAGGGGACAATCTGTCTAATGCCCTTCTCTTAGCTTCTGGTGTTGCCAGCAGTCCTTGGCTTGTAGACGCATCAGTCCAACCTCTGCCTCTGTTGTCACATAGCATTCTCACCGTGTCTGTCTTTGTGTCTCTTCTCTTCTTATAAGGACATCAGTCGCATTAGATTAAGGGCCCAACTTATTCCAATATGACCTTATTTTAACTAATTACATTTGCAACAACATTAGGTCAAATAAGGTCATATTCTGAGGTTCCAGGAGGGACATGAATTTTTGGAGGACACTATTCAGCCCAGTGCGCAAACTGTATGTTGACTGCCCGGATGCAGAGCAATGACACAGATCGTTAGCCCCAGGGTCTGCAGTTTGTTCAGATGATGAAAAACCTGACTTACTGCAAGGTTATCTGCCACAGCCCCCATGACGCCATGTTTGTCTGCAAAGTCAAGATTGGCCTGGTCAGCTCCAAGTCACCCCAGGAAGTTATGTTCATACTCAGGACTCAATAGGATTTGGAGAGGGCAGAAAGACGACTGAAGAACAGCATGCATGTGCAGCAAGAAGACAATATGGAGCTGAGACCTGGGAGTGAACTCAACGGGGGCTCTTGGGATGGAAGAGCACGTGGCTCTTGAGCACTGCACAGAGTAGAAGAAGGAATGTCCAGAACCTTGTTGTGTCAAGTGTAGCAGGTGCCTCCACAAGATTGGTGGCATTTCACCCAATGAGAACAGTAGGGATTGTGGGTCTAGGAAGGTGTGTGACTTTGCCACAAAGCCAGCACATCAAACGACATTGGGTGGAAGCCCATGGCAGCCTGCACAGCCAAGTCAGCAAGGTGCTGAAGGGATCAGAGGCCAGGCTGCTGTTGCTGAGCTTGGAGCTAAGCGGAGCTGGGTGGCTTCTGTCACATTCATCAGCTCACATCACTCTGTGCAGGCAGGAAAGGTCACCTCATCCTGTCCAGCCATGCAGGGGGCAGGAGGTTCCGTCAGGGGCTCAGGAACACAGAAATGCCACACAAACAGGTGGAAGAGCAGCTGGGACTCCATCTTATTCAATCCCTGGTCCAAGAAAGCTTAGATTGTGACAACGAGTGACCATCAATGGCCCCTCAAGGGTGTTTGGCCTTGATTAAAATGGCAGTACTTTTGAAAATGTTTAAGTGTATTTATTTTTAAAATTTGAAACCGGAGGTAGTAACATTACTGACTGAGCACCTGAAATGTGAGGAGCAGGCAACTCTCAGTGGGTGTCCACGCGAGGTCAGCCTGTCTGATGAGGAAGGTTGTGTGACAGTGGCTAAGTCCCTTTTTGTATTAGTCAAGATATAGGCTCAGCTGCTGTAACAAAGGGCCCCTCAAATACAGGGTTTTGAACACATGGGCAGTTGATTTCTCTCTGATGAAGCAGCCCAGAATCTGGCAGGCAGTCAGGCCTGGGAGGCCTCTCTGTCCTGTAAGGTCGTCAGGGGCCCAGATTCCTTCTATCTTCTTCTCCCACGTGTGGATTTAATTAGGATGTTTTTGGCCTGAAAGTACGTAAAAACTCAACTCACATTGGCTTGCTCAGTGAAGTGATTTGTTACATAATCTTGAGTAGTTTATGGATAGATTACAAGATTGGTTAATTTAATGGTTCAACAATGCTATCAAAGAACAGGTTTCTTCCACTTTCCCCTCTTCCATTCCCAGTATTTCCTCTTCCGCTAACTCCCGTCACATTTGCACAAATCCGGGAATGCCACCCAGACATGACAATATCTAGTAGCAGATGAGAGAATGTTTTCTTTTCCAAGTACGATGGAAATCTTTCCCGAAAGTCTCTGAGTAGACTTCTCATCCTGTCTCCTTGGCCAGACTTTTATCACATGCCTATGACTAAACCTGTAACAGCCAAGGGAAACGAGCCCACCAAGCCCAGCTCAGACCAATCATGACTACTGGGGCTGGGGCCTGCCTCCTCTAAAGCTAGTGTGTACCTAACAAGATCAGAGTCCCTTAGCCAGGATGAAAGGGAGGAAGGGCTGTTGGATGTGTGGCTACCCCAGGTCTGCCACATATTGCCACCTCCTACTTCTTAACTATTTCTTGGTACAGAGCTTCCCAGCTGGAGTGCTGTGGTGCAGTGGGCTCTGCAAATGGGGGTCCCCAAGAAATGATTCTATCAGCCCTAGCGGCAGCCAAGAGGGTCTTGGATGGCCAGAGTACCCTGGCTGATTGCTTTTACCCTAATAGTCTCTTCTGTTTACCATAGTGTGCAGTGCATTTTAAAAGTTTCCTGTGATTTTTAAGAGGGGGAGAAGGTTGGGAGCTCTGGCTTAGTATTCCACAGCAACATTCCTCTTTTGAAGTTTAGGTGATTTAAAATTATTTGCTTCCTCCAAATTATTTTTTAAACTAGAATGCACTTTTATTTATTTATTTTTTTGAGGAAGATTAGCCCTGAGCTAACATCTGGGGCCAATCCTCCTCTTTTCGCTGAGGAAGACTGGCCCTGAGCTAACATCCGTGCCCACCTTCCTCTACTTTATACATGGGATGCCTACTTCAGCATGGCTTGCAAGCGGTGCCATGCCCACACCCGGGATCCCAAACCGGCGAACCCTGGGCTGCTGAAGCAGAACATGTGCACTTACCCACTGTGCCACTGGGCCGGCTCCTAGAATGCACTTTTAAGTCTATGCTCTAGGGACCAGCCCTGTGGCCGAGTGGTTAAGTTCACGCACTCTGCTTCGGTGGCCCAGGGTTTCACCGGTTCGAATCTTGGGCGCAGACGTGTCACTGCTCATCAGGCCATGCTGAGGCGGCGTCCCACATGCCACAACTAGAAGGACTCACAACTAAAAAAATACACAACTTTGTATCGGGGGGCTTTGGGGAGAAAAATAAAATCTTAAAAATAAAATAAATCTATGCTCTATCTAGCAAATCTGAGGAGTGGAGAAAGAACTGGAGTGGGGCAAGAGTGGGAGCTGGTACTGTAGTCCAGGTGTGAGAGGAAAGCGGAGTGTGGGTGATAGTAGGAAGTGGTCTGATTCTAGGTATACTTTGAAGGTATTGCTGACAGATTTGTACGTGGGATGAGAGATGAGTCAAGGACGACTCCAGGAAGAGAGTTGCCATTTTGAGTTAGGAAAAAATGTTTCTGGGGAAAGATTGCCTGTTATAATCGCCTATTAGGCACTCAAGTGGAGATGCTGAGTAGGCAGTTGGATTAGTGGCTGGCATTCAGGGGAGAGGCTGGAGATGTGAGTCTGGGAGGCATCTGGGTAGCCACGGCATCTGAAGTCACAAGACTGGAAGGGAGCACGAATGGAGTGGGAATGGATACAGAAAAAGAGAGGGCCGGATCTGAGTCCTGGGGCAATCCAATAATAAAGGGAGAAGAGGAGGAACCATCAAAGGAGAAGAAAAGGAGGTAGGAAGCGACTCCAGAGAGGTTTCCTGGACACCAAGGTTAGAATGTGTCAAGGAGGGAGTGATCCGCTCAAATGCTGCAGATAGGCCAAGTAAGATGAGGACTGAGAAGTCACCGTGGGGTTTAGCAAAGTGGAGGTCACTGGTGGCGCTGACAAGGGCAGTTTCAGTGGAGAGGTGGAGAGTGAAAGCCTGATTGAAGAGGCGGAAGGGAGTGGGAAACGAGTAGGTAAATGTCCTCAGGAGTCTTACTGTAAAGTGAAGCAGAAATGGGAGGATACCTGGATGGGAAGTGGTCCCTTTTTTTTTAATAGAAGAAATTAAAATATGTTGGTATATGGATGGGAACAATACAGAGAAGAGGGTGATGGAGAAAACAGGGAGAACTGCTGGGGCAATATGTTAGAGAAAATGAGAGGACAGGATTCAGTGCACAGTTGGAGGAGTCGGTCTTAGTAGGCAGTTTATACACGGTCACAGGAGGGAGGCAAGCAGGTGACTAAATGAGGTGATGTGAATTTGTGAGTGTACTGATCTCCAAGATTTTCTTTTATTTTTTAAATTGCCAATTAATTCTTTTTATTGAGGTAACATCAGTTTAGAATATTATACAAATTTCAGGTGTGCACCATTATATTTCAACTTCTGTATAGTTTACATGGAATTCACCACCAAAAGTCTAGTTGCCATCCATCACCGTACAAATGTCCCCCTTTACCCCTTTTGCCCTCCCACACCCACCTTGCCCTCTGGTAACCGCCAATCAGTTCTTTGTATCTCTGTGTTTATCTTCCACATATGAGTGAAATCTTACATTATTTGTCTTTCTCCATCTGACTTATTTCGCTTACCATAATACCCTCAAGGGCCATCTGTGTTGTTGCAAATGGCATGATTTCATTTTTTTTTAAATGGCTGAGTAGTAGTCCGTTATACATACATATATATACCATATAGTCTTTACCCATTCATCAACCAATGGGCACTTAGGTTGTTTCTAAGTCTTGGCTATTGTGAACAATGCTGGAATGAACACAGGAGTGCATATATCTTGATCATATCGTATTTCTACTTTTAAGTTTTGAGGAGTCTCCATACTGTTTTCCATAGTGGCTGCACCAATTTACATTCCCACCAGCAGTGTACGAGGGTTCCCTTTTCTACATCCTCCCCAACACTTATTTCCTGTCTTTTTAATAATACAGATTCTGACCACTGCAAGGTGATATCTCATTTCCCCACGATTTTCTTAGTGAAACAGGAAGCAAAGTCATTATGGAAGACTAAGGATGGAGAAGGAAGCAATGGAGGTTTAATAAGAGTGGAGAAATCTGACATAACTCTTTAAGATGATGGGCGGGGCCAGCTGACATGTACTTGAAACCAAATTGAGAAGAATTTGGAGAGCTACATTTTGCTTTAAGAGATTAGTCCCTCTAGGCGCTCGGTAGTCTGCGTCCGTCTCCGTGGAGACGGGAGACGAGAGAAAGCGTCCGGTCTTGCTGGGAAGTTTGAGTGGCTAAGGTTACCGCGCGATCCACGCTGAGACAAGGAAGCTGGAGAAGCCGAATAAATAGGCATCCCAAGGGATCCGGGCCCCAGGGACTCACAACTCTTCTTCCATTTTCCCCAATGGCGCGGGTCTTTGCGAAGTAGGTAGTGAAGCGCTGAGGGGTGGCGGAGGGCGCATGCGTGCCCCCCTGCCCTGGCTGGTCCTCGCTCGTCCCGCCGCCTCCTGGCTCCGCCCTCTCCCCGCCCACATCTCCTAGCCCCGCCTCTCCTCGCGCTCTTCGGGCTCCCGCTCTGCTCGAGTCCCTAGGAAACTGCGGTTTCGCCTGTTTCACGTTTGGTGCTTGCAGCCCCATGAGTTGGGAATGATGGAAGTTCTTTCCCGCCCCAACTCTTTGCAGACCCGACCACTCTGGGATTCCCTCCACGATGCAGAAGTTCCAGATTCTGGTGAGTACGTGAGGGCTGGGGTGGAGATGGGGGCTCGCTCACCCTGGGCCTGTAGCTGCCTGCGCTCAACCATCACGGTGGTGACTGTCCCGGGTGGCAGAGTCCGGAGACCTGAACCCCAGGTCCAGCTGTGTCACACATTTGTTGTGGGACACGAGACAAGCATGTCAACGTCAGTTTTCTCACCACTGTATCAGAATGCAAGAGTATATTATGCTTCTGTCTTAATTATTCTCTCTCATCGCTGCTCTGGGTTCCTATTGGGTCTTTTCCATGCCTTCTGTTCCTCACAATTCTTAGCACCTCGCAGCCTGGATGTGCTTAGTAAATTTTGGCTGGCTGATAAAAAAGTGATAGCTAACGTTTTTGGAGCACTTACCACATGCTTCACAAATATCATCTAACCAAATTCTTGCATCAACCCATGGAGGTAGGTTTTGTAGTTAGACCCTGTTTACAGATGGGAAAATTGAGGCTCAGAGAGGTAAAATCACTTGCTCAAGGTCACAGGTATTTGTAAGGGGTGAAGCTGGGATTCCAACACATCGGGCCTGGTGACTGACTGAGTTATGTCCGGTAGGATTATGATCCATGGCAGAGGTCCAAGCAGAGGACCAAGTCATCTACTCTGCCTCCAGTCCTACAAACCAGCGGCCAGAAGAAGAGCAAAATGAAGACTTTGACTAGCGTCCAGCCAGGTGGGCAGATACTGGGGGGCTGGCCTGGGGGTTGGGGACAGGATAGAGCAGATGCTCTTGGCCCTTGATGACATCATTTATATTAGGGTGGGCTAACTGCTATACCAAACAGTTCCCAGCTTTCAAGTATGAAAACAGAAGTTTATTTCTCATTTATGTCAAAGTACATTTGCAGATGAGGATGGGAGGAGGTAATCTTTTCCATATGACCATTCAGGGATCCAGCCTCCTTCAACATTGTGGCTCTGAGGTTTTGTAACGCCTTGAAATCCTCTGCTAGATTCTTCTGCATCCAACTGGCAGAGAGGGAAGAGAGAGAGAGCAAGAATATGGATGATTTTGTGGGTAGTTTTTTCTCAGAGGCCCAGACTTGAAGTGACACATATCACTTCCACTCATATTCCAGTGACCATAGCTCATAGGACCACCCCTAACCACAGGGAAGATGGGAAATGTAGTCCAGCTGTGTGTCCAGGAGGAAAAGAAAACAGTTTAGTAAACTCAGGAAAATCTCTGTCACTTCATTGTCATGCCTTCCTGGGGAGTTCTGAGGCCCTTGCCTAGGCAGACATGGGTTCATAGCTTGGCTTTGCCTTTTACTCACTTCGAAAAGTCATTCATTTCTCAGACCTTTAGTTTCCTGATTTGTGAAATGAGGACACTCATACTTACCTCATAGTATTGTTGTGAGAATTAAATGAGGAGAGCTATGTAAAGCATTGTTGCTGAACCTTGTCAGACCCAACACTCCTTTTTTTTTGTGTGTGTGTGTGTGTGGGAGGAAGATTGGCCCTGAGCTAACATCTTTGCCAGTCTTCCTCTATTTTGTATGTGGGATGCAGCCACAGCATGGCTTGATGAGCAGTGTGTAGGTCTGTGCTTGGGATTCAAACCTGTGACCCCTGGGCCTCCAAAGTGGAGCACACGAACTCAGTTACTACACCATCAGGCTGGTCCTCAACACTCCTTTTAATAACAAATATATTTTGTAATACTCCTTTAGTATCCTGAAATGAACTTCGTAGATAATATAATCTACCTATGTATATAATTATTAAAAAAAATCACTGTAATGCCATAATTGAAATGTAAAGGAAAAATAAAAGGAAAGTTATTTATGGTTAAATAACATCCATGTCAGTATGTAAATGCTCAGGGTGGACTCCACTAGAAGGCACGATAAAGTACTCAGAAACTTACTCATTAATGTAGAGTCACAGTGAGTGTAACGGTTGCAAATGCAGAGTGACACATGGTGGGATACTGGGGGCTCCAGTACCAAGCGGGGTTTTTCATTGCAGTCATGATTTCCAAAGTGGTGCCTATCTCTTATCTTCCCTTGCTTGCAGCTGCTTTCTTGGAAAATTTGGCATTACAGTAAAATCCTGAAAAATATTCTTCGTCTTTATATGTAAAACAGAGTCAGGTTCTGGGATCAGATCATAAATAGGGTTTTCACCTACATTAGCGTCTGGTAGGACTTTGGAAAATCATGCAGGACACAGGGGAATTCTGTGTTCTGTGGGCTGTCCTATTCCGGGTGATGTCTAGCATCCCTGGTCCCCACCCACAGATGCCAGTAGGGCCCCCCAATATTTGTGAGAACCACAAATCTCCCCTGCCAATGTATCTAAAACACCTCTGTTGAGAGTCATTGTTGTAAAGTGATGAGCAAGGCCTGGTGGTGGTGGCAGAGTTTTTGTCTTTGGCCCTAGACCCTATTCAGACAGCATCTAGAAGGAAACTCTTGGCCTTTTCTTTCACTGGGGAGGCAGTGAGGTATGTAACAGACACAACAAAAACAAGAGCATTAACATATACGAAGCACTTGTTACGTCCCAGATACTGTTCTCAGCACTTTACATGTGTTGCTTCATTTAATCTTCCCAACAGCCCTGCGAGGTGGGTGCTGTTACTCTCACCTCCTCTTGCAGATGAGGCACAGACGGGTGTAACTCCCAAGGTCTCACACGGTAGGAGGGGGCATCGCCAGACTGTGACATTCGGCAGTTAGGCTCCAGGACCCACAGTCTTAACCACATGTAGGTGGAGAGGTGGGCACTGGAGAAATACAGACCTGAGGTGGCGTTCCAGTTTCCCTTCCTGCTGGCAATTCCATCTAAGCTGCCTGTCTCAGACTCGGTTCCCTTCCCTGTGGAAATGGGCACAAAGATTCTGCCTTGTGCAGATGAAATAATCTCTGTAAATAATAATGATGAAAATAGCTACCATCTGCTGAGGACTTATTCTGTGTCAGGCTCTGCTGTAGAGCCTCTTTCATTTGTTCGTTCGTTCGTATATTCATTCAGCAGCAACCATTTGCTGAGCCCCCCGGGCCTGGCACTGGGCTGAGTGTTGTTGACTCGTGGGGAAGGAGACAGATTGGGTGTCTAGCTGCATTGAGTTCATGGTCCCGACCTCAAACACGTAACTACGCAAAACTTTAAATACACCTGTGATAGAAGGAGGACATCATCTCATTCATTCCTTGCGATGACCTGGGAGGTGGCGTCGTCACCATTTTCCAGATGAGGAAACTGAAGCTTAGGTTGGTAACACGTCTTGTGCAAAATCATGTCCTTGAGGGCAGCTTTTGTCTATTAAAAAAGGTAAATCAGCGGAATCCACCAAGATGGAGTAGCCCATTCCTTCGTGGTCTTCCCTTTTACAGCTGAAAAACCCTGCACACAACACAACAGACAAACGTAGGAAGACGCTGAAAACCTGAAAGAAGAAGGTGGGCTGCCAGAGGGGAGCATGCACAGTCGTCTGGCCTTCCTGCTGCATCTCGGCAGGGGACTGTCTTCTGAAAAGAAGATTAAATAGAACCAGAGTAATATCGGAAACATCGAGGGTTCAGTCAAAATCACTTGTCATACCAGGAATAAGGAAAATCACAACACGCACGAGAAAAGACAGACGCCAGCACTGAGATGAGTCAGATAGAATTATTTGACTGTCCTCGCTTACAGACGACACTACTATCTACATAGAAAATCTTAAGGAATCTACGAAATCTAACAGAAACTGGAGTTGTTAAGTGAGTTCATCAGGGTCTCAGCATACAAGCACAACACACAAAAATCAATCACATTTCTGTGAATGTCTGGAAACCAAAATAAAAAAAACCCCAATAAATTTACAATCACTCCAAAGAAAATTAAGTATTTAGGTATAAACTTAAGATATGTACAGGATCTGAATGCTGAAAATTACATAATGCTGATGAAAGAAGTCAAAGAAGACCTAAATAAATGGACAGCCATACTATGTTCATGGATTGGAAGACTCAGCATAGTAAAGATGTCAGCTCTCCCCAAGTTGATCTGTATGTTTAACGGACTTCCTATCAAAAGCCCAGCAAGGTATTTTGTAGACATAGGTTTATTCTGTCATTTCTATAGAAAAGCAAGGTCCTAGAATGGATAAGACAATATTGAAAAAGAAGAATAACGTGGAAAGAATCACTTCACCTGATATTAAGGGCTACTGTATAGCTGTAGTAATCAAGGCAGTGTATTATGGGCAGATAAATAGACACGCAGATCAATGGAACAGCATAGAGAAACCAGAAACAGAGCCACACAAATATGCCCCACTGATGCTTTTTTTTGGAGGGGGGGAAGATTAGCCCTGAGCTAACATCTGCTGCCAGTCCTCCTCTTTTTGCTAAGGAAGACTGGCCCTGAGCTAACATCGGTGCCCATCTTCCTCTACTTTATATGTGGGACGCCCACCACAGCATGGCTGGACAAGCAGTGCCATGTCCACACCCGGGATCCGAACAGGTGAACCCCACGCCGCTGAAGTGGAACATGCGAACTTAACCGCTGTGCCACAGGCCAGCCCTGCCCCACTGATTCTTGACAAAGGTGCAAAAGCAATTCAGTGAAGGCAAGAAAGCCCTTTCCACAAATGGTGCTGGAGCAATTGGACATCCATAGGCAAAAAAAAGAACCTCGATTTAAGTCTCACAACTTATACAAAAATTAACTCAAAAAGTAAATGTAAAATGAAATCAAAATTAAATGTAAAATCTAAAACTGTTAAACTTTATTTTATTTTTTAAAAATTTCAGGTGTACATCATTATATTTTGATTTCCCTGTAGATTACATCGTGTTTGCCACCCAAAGGCTAATTACAATCCGTCACCAGACACGTGCCTAATCACCCCTTTTACCCTCCTGCCTTTCCCTCTGGTAACCACCAATCTAATGTCTGTCTCTCTGTGTTTGTTGTTTTTATGAGCGAGATCATACAGTATTTGACTTTCTCCCTCTGACTTATTTTGCGTAGCATAATACCCTCCAGGTCCATCCATGTTGTCGCAAATGGCAAGATTTCATCCTTTTTATAGCCAAGTAGTATTCTATTGTGTATATATACTACATCTTCCTTATCCATTCGTCCCTTGATGGGCACCTAGGTTGCTTCTAAAATTTTTAGAAAAAAACATGAGAGAAAAATATTTGGGATCGATGGCCAAATGAAGAGCTCTTAGATTTTACACCAACAGCTTGATCCGTAAAAGAAAAATGAAATAAATGGATAAGTTGAACTTCATCAAAATTAAAAACTTTTGTTCTATTAAGACTCGGTTAAGGGATGAAAAGACAAGCTACAGACTTGGAGGAAATATTTGCAAAGCACATCTGATGAAGGACTGCATTGTAGAATATATCAAGAACTTTAAAAACTCAACAGAAGGATAATTCAGTTAGAAAATGGGTAAAAGACATGAGGAGACATTTCACTGAAGAGGACATATCGATGGTAAATAAGCACATGAAAAGAAATCCAACACCATTATCCATTAGTTAAACTACAATGAGATGCGACCACACACTTATCAGGATGGCTAAATGAGAAATAGTGACAACACCCAATGTTGGCAAAGAGGAGAAGCTGGATCGTGCATACGTTACTGATGGGGAGGTAAAATGGTGCAGCCACTCTGGAAAAGAGTATGGCAGTTTCTAATGAAATTAAACATGCAATTCCCATAACGATTCAACAGTTGCACACTTGGGCATTTATTCCAGAGGAATGAAAACTTATGGTCACACACAAACCAGTGCATGAATGTTTCATAGCAGCCTTACTCATAATACCCCCAAAATGGGAGCAATCTAGATGTCCTTTCATGGGTGAATATTAGACAAACTATGTTACATCCACACCATGGAATACTATACAGCAATAAAGAGAAAAGAACTATCTGTATGCTCAATAACTTGGATGAATCTCCAGAGAATTGTACAGAGTGAAAAAAAGCCAAGCCCAGAAGTTATATACTGTGTGATTCCATTTAGATAACATTCTGGGGATGACAAAATTATAGAAACGGAGAATGGATTAGTGATTGCCAGGAGCTAGGGATGGAGGTGAGGGGAGGATGGTAAGGGGAGGGAAGTGGGTATGGCTCTAAATGGCAACATGAGCCATCCCTGTGGTGATGGAAATGTTCCGTGTCTTGCCCGTCTTAACGTCAGTATCCTGGTTGTGGTATTGTTCTTAGTTTTGCGAGATGCTACCGTTGGGAGAAACTTGAGTTAAGGTCCATAGGATTTCTCCATATTATTGCTTAAAATTGTGTGTAGCCTGAACTTATCTCAAAATAAAAAGTTTAATTAAAAAAAGATAAATCAGGGCTACTACAACTAATGGAAAAGAAATACTCATTATTAAGGCTGCAAATCTTCCTAAGTATTTAAGTTCAGTTTAAAAATCTTCTAATTTTTATGAACGCTTGTACGGGGAATTTCAGAACTTGGTTAATTAAATTCCCCTAAACCTTTTAAGCCACATTTTAAAATTTAATGTATTCATTTTCAAATAGTCCACTTGTCTGATTAACAAAAACCATTTGGTATTTAAATAATTCTTGTACATCTAATAAATAAACTTCTAAATATGGGTAATCTTATGTTCTCGTGAAATTTTTGGTAATTATACGCATCTCATAAGAGTGTCTTAAACCTGTCATCTTAGATCTAAATCAAATTCTCATTTACACATTTCAAATTCGAACCACAAGATTAATCTGTGAATCATTCCATCTCTTAAACAATACAATTAAATACCAGATATATACGGATAATTCATAACTTTAACACAAACTTATTTTAATTTACTTCATCACTTCAATACGTAATACTAAGATTTTCCAGGGTTAAGGATATTGACCCATTAAAGAAACCATATTTTTCTGAAATGCCCCGGGTTGCACCTAGAGCAGGGATGTTCGTGGCGCTGAGGCTGCAGCCACAGCGGTGGTGACAGTTTGGGTGTTTGTCTCATGCTGATGGAGGACCCAGAGGAAGCGGGGATCCTAAGAACATGTGCTCTAAGTGCCTTATTCCGACCTGGTTTATGTTCATATCCTCCTTATCGGGCAGAGCACAGCCTTTATAGGTATTTCAGAGACAGCCAGTTGGAGTTTTGCATAGCTCCTGTGCCTTTGTCGGGGGCTGTGGTCCTGATCCCCATTCTCAGGTCATTAGTAATAATAAATAATGAGTAATGTAGATTCAGCGCTGAGTGTGTGTCAGGCACCATCCCAAACACTTTAAAGTATGGTAACTTATTGAATCTCCATAACAACCCTATGAGCTAGGCATGATGATTATTCCTATTTTACAGATGGGAAAACTGAGGGACAGAGAGGTCATGTGACCTGCCCAAGGTCACACAGCTAGTAGAAGGGAGAGCCTGGATTCAAACCCAGACCGTCTGGCTCATTAGTTCTTGCTGTTTACCCCTACCCTATCTGACCCTGCCACCGGCCAGGTTGGTGGGAGGGATTGGGGGTGCCTGGCCATCTCCTCTTGCTACCTCTTTCCTCCCCTGTGTCCATACCCACAGTCACTGTGGTCTGTGCAAGTCCCCAGGCTCCTCCGTCCCTTCTGTCAAGGCCCAGAGTGGGGCCTGGGAGCTTAGTGATGGATGTGAGTGTCATCCTCTGTCTCACTGTCACACCTTTTAAGGCCGTGAGTGGGTGGGGCTGGGCCTGGGCCATCTCTCATGGATGGGGCCTTCCCTGGACCTGGCTCCAGGCCTGCCTGTACCCTCAATCTCTCTCTGCCCTTCCTATGCCCTAGGGCTGTATTCCAAGCCCACCATGTTGATGACGAGCCAGCCGAGGAATCCACAAGACCTGCGCGGAGGGAAGGTGGACTCGGGGAAGACACAGGCCAGCATCCGGCTGATGAAGGTGTGAGCAGCGTCCTCCCACAGGCACTGGGGCGTGGGGTGGGGCGGGGCGGGGCCACAGCACACTCACGCTGAGCACCTGGTCCGTTTCCTCCTCACAGCAGCCTCCTGGGCACACTTCTCATCAGCCCTGCTTTACAGATGGGGAAACTGAGATACAGGGAGGTAAATGATTTGCATCAGGTCACATGGCTAGAAAGTGGCAGCCCCAGAGGTCAAAGCCGGCGAAGCCCAATGTTCGCTGTTGTGCGGAAGACTCGGGAAGACGATCAGAATCACGTTTTATTTCACTGCGTTAGCAACACAATCTAGTGGCTTGTTCATTTAAAAATTTCCAGTAAACGAACCTTTCATGGAATACAGTGCACCTTGAAGCAAGGCTCAGAAGCTTGCTGTTAAATTTTTCACATCCACTGATAGAATTTTAGATAATTTTCTCACCATCCACAGTTTTTTATGGCTTCTCAACAATGTTTCAAAGTATTTGAAATGACTAAAAGAAGAGGGGTCTTTAGTGTCCCTAGCAGAAAGTAAAGTACTAAAATACTACAAAATACTCTGGGGGAATTCTTAACTTCTTCCAGAAAGTTTTCAATAGCTCAGAGAACAAAGGCTACTATATAAAGAAATAGGGGAAAATGTGTTTGCTTTGAAATCTTTTTTCCCCTTTAACCTTCATTTTTGCAAAACGGTTTAGAGGTGGCCCAGCATTCCTAAGGGAGGCACTATTTCTGATGTTACTTTTATCCTGATTTAGAAGGGTTTATGTGTTTTTCTTTGATAGGAAACATGAACTTGGACAATCTGACTCTGAAACCCGTGCTCCTAACCAGTTCTTTATACTGTCTTGTAATCATTCATTCGTTTAGTTGGTCAACACATATTTCTTGAGCACCTACTATGTGCCAGGCCCTGTTCTAAGTGTGGAGATTCCCCAGTGATGTGACCTCTGACCTTAGGGAGCTCACATTCTACTGAGGGAGATGGACAATAAACAAGACAAATAAATATAAAATGTGTGTAGTGATCATAAGAAGTGTTAGGATAAGGTTAGGGGGCTAGAGAAGCACAGAGGAGGGAGTGGCTGTGACTGTTTTAGGCAGAGTGGTCAGGGAAGGCCGCTAAGGTGGTGACATCTGAGGGAGGAATGTTCCAGGCAGAGGAACTGCAAGTGCAAAGGCCCTGAGGTTGGTGTGAGGTCGGTGTGGCTGGAGCAGGTGATGGGGAGGAAGGACAGTAGGGTGGAGGGGGTACTGGGGATAGCTCGATACGGCTCTGGAGTCTGTGATTAGGCTTTGCGTTTTATGCTGAGTAAGACAGGAGACCCAGGAGGATTCAAGTGGAGCAGGGACGTGACTGGACTTAGGGGTCCTTGGGCTCCTGCTGCTGTGTGGAGAATAAACTGTGGGCACAAAGGGGAAACAGAGGAGGGGGTAGAAAACAGGCAGTTGGTTTGTTCTTGGAGATGGAATAGGATCCTGACTGACCCTTAGCCTCAGGACAATTATTTATTCAATCTACAACTCTTGAGAGAGTGCCTCCTGTGTGCCAGGCACCATGCTGGGTGGTGACGACATAGCCGTGAACACGGCACTCAGAATTTGTGGTGTTATGGAGCTTACTCTTTAGTGGGGAGACACATAATAAATGAACTTAAAAAACCCAAAGAATAGCGAGTCCTCTGTTTCTGCAGCTCGTACTCACGGAGCCCCAGGCACAGAACAAGAAATGCCACTGCCTCCTGGCTGTGACATTCTAGTGAGGGGGACAAACAAAAAACAAGATAATAAGAAAAATATTTGTTATGTTGGGTGGTAATAAGTCCTAGGAGAAAAATAAATTGGGAAAGGGGGAGACGTAATTACAACCTGTAATTATGTGATTGCAAATTGGGGCACGGGTCAGGAAGGAAACAAACCAGGGTTTCTGCACCAGATCTGGGAGTCAGGGGGGATCCCCTTCTCCGGCAGGGGCCGTTAATTCTGCAGTCTATCAGAGTCACCTGGCAGGGGGCGTGTGTTAGTACCGATCCCAGGATGCTGGCTCAGTGGGCCTGAGACCTGGAGACTAGCATTTTCACAAGATGCTTCTGGTCCCTGTGGGCCATGTTTGGGGATGTTTTGGTCTGGAGATGTGAAGGCAAGATAGCAGAGTGGCTAGGAGCCCAGACTTTAAGGACAGCAGCTCTGCTCTGAGTGACCTTGGGTAAGTTACTGAGTCTCTCTGACCCTCGGGTTTGTGTTTCTGTAAAGGGGGGCATTATAATGAGAGTGCCGAGCGAGGTAGCGCGCGTGAAGTGCTTAGCACAGTTTCGGGCACATAACAAGCACTCCATATGTTTGCACTATTCCTTTTACTATTGTGTGAGGAATATGGGAGCCGAGGGCTAGGAAGGGGTAGCTTCTAGCAAAGCACAGAGAAATGATGAGGGACAGAAGGAATAAAGAAGAGAGCGCATAGATATGGCAGAGCTGGAGGGCTAGAGCTCTGAGAGTATAGGAGTCCCCGCTTATCGGTGCGGGATGCGTTCCAAGACCCCCAGTGGATGCCTGAAACCATGGATAGTCCCAAACCCTATCTATACTATTTTTTCCTATACGTACATAGCTATGATAAAGCACAATTTATAAATTAGGCACAGTGAGAGATTAATAACAATAACTAATAATAAAATAGAACAATTATAATAATATACTGTTAGAAAAGTTACCATAAATCTTAGCAACCTCAGCATACAGTTTTTTTTCCTCTCCTTGTTGAGAACTGTCACCTTTTCACTTAAAGGATGCAGTTTAGGGCTTCTGTTTGGCGTATCTGAATTGCCAGCATCACTGGTCTGGTGTTCTGGGGCCATTATTAGGTAAAATAAGAGTTACTTGAACACAAGCACTGCGATACCACCGCAGTCGATCTGATAAGCCAGACAGCTACTAAGTGACATGCAGTGTGGTGGTATATCGAGTGTGGACACGCTGGACAAAGGGATGGTTCACGTCCTCCATGGGACCAAGGGGGATGGCACCAGATTTCGTCATGCTGCTCATGGCACTCAATTTAGAACTTAGGAACTGTGTATTTCTGGAATTTTTCATGTAATATTTTCCGTCTGCGGTAGACCGTGGGTAACTGAAACCATGGAAAGCAGAACCTCAGATAAGGGGGCACTACTGTAGCATCAGCTGCATTCACTGAGGGCACACTGAGTGTTCAAGACAGTGTGGCTTAATTGTGGGTGTTATCTCATTTATTTTTCACAGCAGCTCTCTGAGGCCGGCAGTAGTTTCTTAACCTTTGAGTAGAGCAGGGTTCTGGGAGGCTGACTAACTTGTCCAGCTTCCCTTAGGTGGTGAATGGCAGAGCAGGTATTTGAACCAAGGGTTCAAGTCCTTGGCCTAACATTGAAGTTTTAATCACTGTGAGGTTCAGCCACACTTTGCAGCTTTACGCCCACTCAATTCCTTGTCTTAGTGTAGTGGAAAGAAAGACGTGGGGAGTCAGAAGTTGGCCTTTCCAGTTCTGGTGCCACTCCTTCCTGGCTGTGTGACTTTGGGCAAATCGCTTAACCCGTCTGAGCTTCCACCTATCAGTAAAATAGAGTTAGGAAACACAGAGCTGTCGGAAAATGAACTGATAGTGTGTGCCACGTGCCCAGTGAGGTGCCGTGCCTGACACATGGGAGGCCCTCAACAGTTACTATTATTGTAGATTTGGGGTACCTGCTGAGGGTGCCCTTAGATAAGTCACTGAACCCCTGTGACTCTTATTGTTTGTGCAGGGGCGTTGTATAAAATGAGAGGGTACTCACTGAGCTACCTGACGAGAAATGGGAGGGGTTATCATCCACTCTGCCTCCCCCCTTCTCCTCCAGACACAGCCGGTCACCTCTGCCACGTTCTTACCCACCTGGGGTGTTTTCTATGATTATCACTACTATATTTCATTGATTCTAAGGAGCCGTTGATAATAAGGCACATCTTTATTTTATTTTTCCACTACTAAGATATTTGTCTATTAGATTGCGACGCATCACCACTAGTAAGATGCATCCCCACCTCAGAGATGTAAAATTAGAGGAAAATGGGCGTTTCAGAATGAGTGAAATAGTTGTGGGTGCCCTGACCCGCAGACAATGGGGTCGCATTGACCAGTCGAGGCCACAAGGGGGCGGGCGTGCGGCGGGAGGGAAGCGGTCCCCAGGCTCCCGGAGGCTCTGGCCGCCCGGCGCAGCACCGCCCCGCTCCCCCTTCTCTCCTGCAGATGATGCTCAGGAACCGGCGCACTTCGCTCCAGGAGCTCCGCAGCCACGAGAACTTCCTCACCAGGCTCAATGGGGAGCTGGTCAGAAACATCCAGGACATGGAGGACAGCGCGGCCCAGAAAGTGCGCGCGATGCTGCAGCAGCAGGACATCTTCGCGGTGAGGCCCCGCGGTGCCCCGCAGCCCCGCCTCTGCCCTCTGCGCTGCGGTCCTGCCCAGGCACCGCCCTCCTCAGCGCTTGGGCGCCCTCTCCTGCCCTCTCCCGGCCTCTCCCGGACGGTTACACAAGCTGCTGCTTCCATCTGGAAGATGCATCTCTTACATGCTTTGCCCCACCTTCCTGGACTTTGGAATCAGATTCAGATGGGGGCCTCATCCCAACGCCAGCACTTATTAGCTGGAAATTTTGCGTTAACCTCTGAGGTCTGTGAAATGGGGCACAGTAGCACTTACCCCAAAGTGGGGGTGTACTTGGCACAGAGTTGGTGTGCAAGAGAAAGTAGCTGCTCCCACCATCAACATTAGCAAATACTTACACGGTGTAATACTGAGTGCTGTGTGTATATTCATATAATTCTTACAACAACCCTGTGGGGTGGGCATTATTAGTATTTTTATTTTACATATGAAGAAATGGAAACACAGAGAGGCTAAGTGACTTGCTCAAGGTCACCCAGCTACCAAGGATCAGAGCTGGGATTGGAACCCATGCCATCTGGTGGCAGGATCTGTGTTCCTTCCACCGTGCTGTGATCACCACCCTCACCCAGTGGTGACCCTTGTGGTCTGTGGGTGAAGAGTGACTTGGCAGAGAGCCGGGAGCCTCCTCCGCCTCCTCTGAGAGAGACTTGTGCAGCTGCGGGCAGAGGGCTGGAAGTCAGCACAGGGGATCCAGGAGTGTGGGCTGGAGGAGAGTGGGAGGAGATGGCGTAATGGAGAAGTCAGTCCCTCCATCTGCAGTCTGCCCAGGAGAAGAGGCACTGGGTTCCCCTGGAGCCTGCGAGATGAAGAGAAACGTCAGACTTCTTGGGAACTTCACTGGTCTGCTTGAGCTGCCCTAACAAAATACCACTGACCGGGTGGCTTAAATGACAGAAATTTATTTCTTCAGTCTGGAGCGGGAAGTCCAAGGTCAAGGTGCCAGCAGGCTTGGTGTCTGGGGAGGCCTCTCTCGTTGGGTGCAGGTGGCCACCTTCTTGTGTGTCCTCACACGGCCTTTCCTCCGTACGTGCGTGGAGAGAGAGAGTGATCTCTGACGTCTCTTCCTCTTCGTAGAAGGACACTCGTTTCAGATTGGAGCCCCACCCTTTGACCTGGTTAAACCATAACTACCTCACTAAAGACCCTCTCTCCAAATATAGTTACGTCGTGGGGAGGTTGGGGAGGTGCACCATTCAGTGTATGACACGGACCAAGGACATACAGAATTATTCAGCCCCAGAAACTTAGTAGAATATTCTCCAAACCTGGACCAGTCGTTGTCTGATTCTCCTCCATTGCTCTATTTCTACGTTTTTCGTTCATCCCGAGTTCTTCCTATGGGCCCTTGGGAAACAGTGATCAGTGGGACACCTCGTCCACACCAAGCTCTTGTTCTAGTGGGGTCACAGGCAGGTAGAAAGCCTTTTGTGTGTACTGTGATGGGGATGGGGGACTTGGGAAGCTGAGAGGGGCCTTCTGACACAGACATGGGAGGGTCAGGAAGGCTTCCTGGAGGAAGAGATGCGTGAGTTGAAACCTAACTGGTAGAGAGCAGGCACATGTTCCAGGCAGAGGAAATGGGCACACAAGGCCTGGGATGGGAGGGTGCATTGCTGGCTCCAGGAGCCACATGTTGCTTCGTGTGGTTGGATGATAGGGTGTGAGGAAGGGACCAGAGAGAGCTGAGATTGGCTCAGGCCAGACTGAGGAGGGCTTTGTCAGCTGAGGTGAGGAGTTTGGACCTTATATACAGGGCAGAGGGGAGCCACTGGAGGGCTTTACATAGGAGAGGGATGTGGCAGCTGCTTTTTTAAAGGAAGATCATTCTGGCTGCTTTGTGGAGAGCCGATCAAAGGAGGACCAGTTAGGAGTAGCTGTTGCAATATTTTGGACAGGCGGTGAAAAGAACTTGAGTAAGATAGCAGCAGTGGAAATGGAGAGAAGGGCACAGCTGTGAGAGCTGTTTGAAATCCATTCTTGGTGTCGCTTGGTGACATTTTGGATGAGAGAGGAGAGTGGGGACTGATGCCTGGGTTTGGGCCTGTGGGCCTGGGTGTGTGGTAGGGCCGTCGGCTGAGGTGGGTGCTGGGAAAGGGGAAGTTTGGGGGGGTAGGGCAGTAGGGGACTGCTTTCCAGCCTCTGGTCAGGGGCTGGGGCCTGGGAGTGGGGTTGGCTTTGGGGGCTCCCCTGAAGACATGCTGAGTCCCCTGAGAGCCGTGCTTTGGCAGCGCCGGCGAGACTGGGGGCGAGCTGACCCCAGCACTCCCACAGACCGTCATGGACATCTTGGAGTACTCCAACAACAAGAAGCTGCAGCAGATGAAGTGTGAGCTTCAGGAGTGGCAGGAGAAGGAGGAAGCCAAGATGAGGCGTAAGAACCCCTGGGGCGAGCCGCGGCCCTTGGGGAGGTCGGCTGCAGGGCATTCACCTGGCACGTTCCTTTCAGAAGCCATCAGGTCCATCTTCTCCCTTCTCAGGCAGAGGGAATTGCTAAGATGCACAGCTAATGGCCTACTTACCCAGCACTTAGCACTTCCAGGCCTGTGTGTCTTCATTTTTATGGGCATACTCTGAGTCCTTACAACTACCTGGGAGGCAGGACTGTCATCGCATTTTACAGATGAGAAAACTGAGGCTAAGGGAAGTGAAGTAGTCTGCTGAAGGTTATACAGCTAGGAGCCAGAATCCAAGCCCAGCCTGCCTCTATTTCCTGCCGAGGTCTCTCTGGGCATCCTTGGCTGGGCCAGGTGCCAGGTCTCCTGGCTTCCATCCCGCTGAGCCGGTGGTTTCTTTCCCCTGAGCAGACTAGAAGCCTTCTGAGGGGAGTGGTGGTGTGCCTGGCAGCTTCGGACTCTGGGGATCCCCTCCATGGAGGATGGCAGGACAGGCTTTCTCTTCATCCTGCCGTAGTTGTGTCTTGGGAGCCAGTGTCACCCCATCTCCCTGGGCTTGTCCCTTGGGAGTGTGTGAGGAGACGCAGGTCTCCAGAGAGTGACAGGCGTGGCGAGGGTTGCGCAGTAAGGCCTGCGGGGCTGAAAGACTCTCTAGGGGCTGAACTTTTCACACCTCCCTGCCTGTGTGGGCTCACATCAGCCCAGACCCCGGTCCAGCGGCCAAGGAGAGCTTTGCCTCCCGGATCTCCCGAGAGGGGTCCCTGAGGGAGGATCCTGCCTCCTGTCCCTCCCCACCTCTCCAGACCTGGAGCGGCAGGTGGAGCAGCTGAATGCCAGGATCCATAAGACCAAGGAGGAAGTGAGCTTCCTGAGCACTTACATGGACCATGAGTATCCTGTCAGGTCCGTCCAGATTGCCAGCCTGGCGCGCCAGCTGCAGCAGGTGAAGGACAGCCAGCAGGTAGGTGAACCCCTGGCCCTGCCCCACTGGAGCATGCGGGAGGCAGAGCTGGTGGCCAGCACTCTCCTGCTGACCCCCAGGATGAGTTGGATGACCTTAATGAGATGCGTAGAAAGGTCCTGGAGTCTTTGTCCAACAAGATTCAGAAGAAGAAAAGAAAACTTCTGAGGTCTCTGGTGGTGGTGAGTAGCCCGCTGTGGTGGGTATCCAGGTGCTGCCCCCACCCCTGCTTTCTTCCCTGTCCTCTGCCTCCAGGCCCCCGGCACCCCCACCAGTCTGCCAAGCACTGCTGCCCAAGAAGAGGGACTTGGGGGCCAGACCTGTCCTTCCTCCACAGAAAACCCAGTCTCCCTATGAGGAGGCACTCCTGCAGAAGACTCGGGACAGCCAGGACATCCTGAAATGCACAGGCCGGTTCAGAGAAGTGAGTGGGCAAGGAAGGCAGTGGTCTCTCTGCAAGGGAGCAGAAGGGGAGTGGTCCCCAGGACCCGTGGGAGTCAGGCTTATTCTCATCTGGTGCTCAGGAGGTCTCTGACTCTGGTGTTGGCCTTCCTCCATGCCAGCGCCATTACCGTCACCGGCCGTTCATCCGAGAAGGAGATGAGTGCCAGCCTAGCCCTTGCCTCACTGGCCAACATCACTGCTCGTGCCCCTTTAGCACCATCACCCAGCATCACCCACTCAACCATCATTTTTCTGTCGTTCGCCACCCCCTCTCTTCAGCTCTTAGTTCTTGTCGTTGACCATCGCTCATTGCCGGTGTTAATGAACTTCACCATCCCCACCCTCTCGTATTAATTTTCGTTATCTTGCACCTTCATCAGTTATCCGTGTGAGCGGCCTTCATCATTTCTGACAGCCCCCATTATTCCTCATTATCAAGCACTGCCACCTCTTTGCCACCTGTCTCCATTCTCCAGCATCCCTCACTTTTTGCAGCACCAGCAAACATCGTCCCTAACTTGTGAGCCAACCCTGCCCTGCGCAGAGAGGCCCTTTTCTGGAGTCCAGGAAGTCCTGGTGACAAGGCCCAGGCTATTGCCCTTTATTCCTTGTCTGTTTTCCCGTTTTCTCCCTTTGGTTGGGCTTTTTTGGCTTCTCACTCTCCCCTGCTGTGCCTCTCTCCTCAGTTTATCAAGCACTTTGAGGAGGAAATACCCATATTAAGGGCTGAGGTGCAGCAGCTCCAAGTCCAGCTCCAGGAACCCCGAGACATCATATTTGCGGACGTTCTGCTTCGGAGACCCAAGTACGTGATCTTTTTGCAGCTGCCTCTTAAACTAGCTGCGCTGCAGGGTCGAAGAGGCTCTCCGTTCTCAGGGAAGGCAGCCTGTGTCGAAGGCAGAACCCTGGACAGGGAGGAGGGGCACCTGGGTTTTTGCCTGGGTGCTGCCACTGACCATGTGGCAGACGTGACCTCTCCCATCTCTGGCCCTCAGTGTCCCCTCTGTGCACAGCAGGCCGAGTCAGGTAATCTTTATGGACCCTTCTAGTTTCCAGATCCCATGTGTTTTGACCAAGCTGGTGTACCCCTCAGCTCCTGGCTTGTTCAGGAAGATGGAGTTGAGTGGGTTGGTTGGCTCCAGGGAAGAATGGCCTGGAAGATACACTGCAAGGAGAGGAGGATGTCTTCCCTGCTTGGCAGACTTATGGGCTCCAAAGGCAGAGCTTTCTTCCTTCTAAAACCAGTTCTCTGCCTGTCCTCCCTGGGGTCCGGCCCTCTCTGGCTGTGCTTGGGGATCCCGCTGGGCTCAGCCTCTCTGTGATGGCACAGGACCCTGGGGCACTGCCCTCCGTGTGGGACAGATCCTGGTGTTTGAGTTATTTAATTTTTCTTCTTCTTAGTCTCTGTCTCCTTCTCTTGTCTCTTTGCTTCCTCCTTCTCTACCTCCTCCTCTTTTCCTTAAAAATTACTATCAAATATGTAAAGTGCCACCGATTTGACGCCTGTGAAGCGCCAGGCACTGTGAGTGTAAGCAACACTTAGCCCTGCCACCACGGAGTCAGGAGGGGACCAGACATTCGTCGATAATGGGCCACAAATGAGTGTCCAGTTGCAGCCGAGCCAAGAGCTGCCGAAGGAGAGGAACATGGCATCAGGAGAGCATGTCTGGACAGTGAGGAGTCTGGGGTGGTCCAGGAAGGTTTCCCTGAGAATGTGACATTTGAACTGAGGTCTGAAGAGTGTGTGAAGTTCGCTAGGCAAAGGGAGCTGAAGGAAGGGCCTGTCTAGGTGGTGGTGCTGGGGTCTTGGGGATGTCCCTGTCTGAGCTCGGAACACACTGAAAGAAGACTAGAGGGGGTAAGGCCAGCATGGGCCAGATTACCACTTTTATTCTGATAAAGCTGATTTTAGAGAATGTGGCTTATGTCTCCAGGCATGTTGCTTCTGAATACTGAACCCAGAATTAGGCAAACTGAGCTCCCTGCGCAGCTGCCTGGGCGCAGAGGAGAGTGTAGTCCTGGCTGGCTGCTCGTTGTTGAGAGGGGACAGGACCGGGCTGCCCGTGCCCCTTTCCTCTCTCAGGCTTCTCAGAGACTCACCCTTCAGGTAGTGGTGCCCCCTTTCTAGGGGCAGAGTGAGTAAAGGGGCGAAGAGAGGCCAGAGCAGTATGCTCAGTGAGGCCCTTCCACGTGGAAGGGACACCAGGGGAGGAAGAAACTTTCGCCTCCTGAAAAGTGGGAGTGGCACGCTGCCAACAGAGCTTCTCCAGAACATGCGCAGGAATCACCTGGAGATCTTGTTAAAAAGCCGTTTGCAACAACACGGATGGACCTTGAGAGTATTATGCTGAGAGAAATAAGCCAGACAGAGAAAGACAGCTACCATATGATTTCACTCATATGTGGAAGATAAACAAACACATGGATGAGGAGAACAGATCAGTGGGTACTAGATGGGAAGGGGGCTGGGGGAGGGTGAAAGGGGCACAGGGGATAAAAATTAGACTATTGGTGGTGAACATGATTCAGTCTATACAGAAACTGAAATATAATAATATATACCTGAAATTACACAATGTTACAAGCCATTATGACCTCAACAAAATAACTTTAAAAAATAAAGTTAAAAGAAAAAAAAAAAAAAACAGATTCCTGATCAATAGGTCTGGCGTGGGGCTCAAGATTCTGCATTTCTAAGAAGCTCTGGGTTGATGCTGACGCTGCTGGTCCCTGGACCACGTGTGGAGCACTGAGGCCGTGAGGGACCTGTGGTAGGAGGGAGGTTGAGGTTTACGTGGAGCCGAACGAGGCCAGTGTGGCTGGAATGCAGAGTGACGGGGAGTAATAGGGACCTCCACGCAGCGCCCTGTAGGTCAAGGTAAGAGTCTTGTACTTGATCCTAAAAGCAGAGAATTGTTAAGCTGAGTGGTCAACAGCAGATTTGTATTCCAGCAAAGCTGCTTTGAAAAGAGCGTGGGAAGGGATTGGAGGGGAGCCAGAGTAGGTGCTGGGCGTCCAGCGGGATGTGATGGCAGTTTGTCAAGGGGAGAGTGGGAGTGACTTGGCCAAGGAGGGTGGCAGAAGAGGTGGGGAAATAGAGGGGTGGGAGAAATAAGAAGGTAAAATCTGTAGGACTTGGGGAGGTTTGGATGTGGGAGGTACAGGACAGGGAGGTGTCGGGAATGACCCCTAGGTTCCCTGCTTTTGTAGCAGGGTGGGTGGTGGTGCTGAATCCAGAGATAGGGAAGACTGGGGACATGGACAAAAGACGTGTATAGATGGACCCCCAGTCGAGAGTTGAGTGGTTCAACTTGATTTACATGAGACCTCACTGTGGAGCCGTCAGATAGGCATTGAGTATGCGAGTGTAGACTGCAGAAGATAGGTGTTGGCTGGAGATGGAAATTTCGGTGTTACCAGTATAGAGATGCATTTTTTTTTACTGTTATGAAAAATTTCAAATACACAGAAAAGTAGAATATTACAATGAATGCCTAGTTGCCCATCTACATTTAGAAGTTGTTATATTTTTGCCATATTGGCTTCATCTTCATTCCTTCCTTTTTTTTTTTTTTTCTGAATTATAAATTCAGACATCCTGACATTTCATGTCTAGAGACTTCAGAGGGCGTGGGTAGATTGTTGAAACCGTGAGAGAGGAGAGAGGATGTCATCCTGCAGCCCCGGAAATGTGGTGGGGCTGAGATGCTCACTGAGATGGGAAATGGCTGGCAGATGGGAATCCATCTCTCTTGCTCCTCGTGTGGACAGAATAATGCCTGTCATTTACTGAGCACTTGCTACACGCTGGCACGATCTCATTGAATCCTCCTACCAACCACTGAGGTTGGAATTATTACCCCCTTTGACAGGTGAGGAAACTGAGGCCGCTTGAGTCTGTCACGTAGTGAGTGCTTGTTACATAGGTGCCAGCTGAAGGAGTGAAGCTCAGAGAGGAGAAGTAGTATGCTCAAGGTGACACAGAGCTGAATTTCTAAACCAGTCGTCCTGGCTCCAAAGAGAGTGCTCGTTCTGAGGGGCCTCAGCATTGCGGAGCCGAGCTCCTGCTCCCCCTTGACCTTGGACCTCTGTAGGGGAACCTTAGTCCTGTCAAACCCATTCCTTTTTCATTTTTGATGTGTGTGTGCACACGCGCATGTGCACAGTTGGGCTGCAAGGTCACAGGCTGTGTTTTGGAATGTGAGTCCCAGTGTTCTGAAGAGCCGGGCTCCCCTGGAGACATGCTCCCTCACCTGCAGCTCTGGCGCCCCTGCTTGGCCTCTCACACCCCATTTTGCTCTTCCTTACCAGGTGCACCCCAGATATGGACGTCATCCTCAACATCCCTGTGGAAGAGCTGCTGCCCTTCTAGACGGTGGGGTCCTGGGCTGCCCCTGCTTCCCTGCTCTCCTCCCCACACCTGGAGCCTTGAGTCGTCTCCTTCCGAGACCACGTCCCCATTCAGACCCTGGTCTGCAGTTCCTTCCTCCCTCCCTCCTTCCTTCTCCCCTCCTCCTTCCTCCTCCCCTCCCTACCTCCCTTCCTCCATCCCTTCTTCTGGTTGGTGTTGCTACTTGGGCCAGGTGGGAACACCCAGAGGAAAGTCTGTGTGTTCCATTTTACCAATAAAGCTGGATTTGCATTTGCTCTTTGCCAGTGGCTGGGGCTTCCCAGCTAGGCCTTGTAGAAGATGTGGTAGGAGTGGACCTTATCTTAATGTAAGGGCAGCTGTGCTGACTGCACCTGGGCCTCAGAACTTCTTGAGAAGGGGCTGGTCCCATGGCCAAGTGGTTAAGTTCACGCACTCTACTTCAGCGGCCCAGGGTTTTGCTGGTTCGAATCCTGGGCGCTGACATAGAGCTGCTCATAAGGCCACGCTGAGGCAGGGTCCCATGTAGCACAACCAGAGGCACTCACAACCAGAATATACAACTATGTACTTGGGGTGGGGGTGGGGTACCTTGGGGAGAAGGAAAAAAAAAAAAGATTGGCAACAGATGCCAATCTTTAAAAAAAAAAAAACTTATTGAGAAATGCTGGAGTTTCCATGGCTTTGTGGCTCTGGGCCACCTCTCTGGTGTAGTGGGAGCCCAGTTTCCCTCCCAGTTTGTACCCAGACCTGTTGAGGACAGTGCCAGGGTAGAGGGGAAACTCCTTAGTTCTATACACCTGGGAACTTGCTGGGCCTTCATGGCTCATGCCATCTCTCTTCTAGTCTCACCATCTGTCTGTCCACTGTCTCCACCCCAGCTTCGTATGGACGTGAATCCACTCTGATACTCAGGTGTGTGGCCAGCCACAGTTCCCCACTGCATGCTCTTCTGTGCTGGACTTAGAGATTTGCTGCCTGCATCCACCTTCAAGCAGGGCCTTGTTCTGGTTACTGGAAGTGCTGTGGGCAGGCGTCGTTCATTGTCAGACCCTTCAGGATTTGCCTCAGCTGCAGAGAGCCACCTCATCCAAGGTCGGGCCCCTTCCCACATCCGCTGACTGCTCAGTGTGCAAGTACCAAAGGCCCTGCCATCTTGGCCTAACTTGGGGCACCTCCGAAGGGCTGTTCTGGCTCCACACTCCCCGTAGGGTTGGCTGAAGCTGTCCTTGGGCCTGCACTGCAGCTTGACTTCTGCCGCGGCTTAGTCCGGCACACTTCTCCTCCCTTCCTCAATTGTTGATTCCAGGGCACTCACTAATAAACATCCTGCACCCTCCACTCATCTCAGAGTTGGGGACCCAGCCTGCTACACTCCCAGGAGCCTCTGATCGCTCACAGATCCACTCTGGGTGTTGGAAGACTTTTGGTTACAGGTTGCAGAGCACCTAACTCAAGTTGGCTTAAACAATAAAGGGCTCGGGTCAATAAATATTCTAGGTGAGGCGAGGCCTTATCCGGAAATCATGGACGGCACAAAGAACCCAGTTTCTGTTTCTCTCTGTGGTCCTCCAAGATGTTTTCTCTTGCTAAGGTCAGCCTGCCGTGTGGCCCCAGTGTGGCTGCCAGCATCTGCTGGGGTGTTGTGATTCCTTCTTCACGTCCTGCTGGAAAGACAGAATGTCTCTGTCCCAGAATTTGCAGCCAAAGTCTTCAGATTCACTGTGACTGGACCAGCTTATGTCACCTGCCCACCTTGAACCAGTTTAGGAGGTGGACCGTGCCTATGGTTTACTCTAGGTCACCCGTGTCACCCTTGGAGCAGGGGAAGAGCTGGGTGGGGGTGGAGCACATGACTTAGGCTAAGCCAGTAGGCGCTCTCCAGAACCATAGGCTCTCCAAACAGAAACTGACGACGTTGAACATAATAATAGCAAACAGAACTTACCCTATGCGTTACGTATATCAGCTCATTAGATCCTCACAAGAACAACCCTACGAGGTAGACGTTGTCAGCACTTCCATTTTACAGATAAGGAAGCCAAAGCATGAAGAGGTAAAGTGATTTTTCCAGAGTCACCAGCTGCTACGTGGCCCTGGCGGTTCTCTTACCCACTATACTGTCAGGAGCTCAGCTGAGCTGCAGAGAGCTGAGCTGCCAGTGTCAGACTAGTCTGTTACGACAAGTCAAAATTAAAGTAGCGGTCAAATCTTCAGTTGCTTGCTGAGACGGCATAAGGAAGAGGCTAAAGCAGAGAAAGCGCTGACATCCACGCTGTTCCATTTTCCCCATGGGGTGGAACCATCGAGGATCAGATGGCTCAGCACGGATGTGAGGACGGTCTTGTTGCTGAGGGAGTCAGCTTCTCACATCACATCATTCTGCTCTCCTTGTCTGCCCCCATCTTCCACTTTTAAGGACTCTTGTGATTACATTGGGCCCACCGAGATAATCTGGGCTAATCTCCCTTTTTCAAGGTCAGCTGATTAGCAATCTGAATTTTATCTACAATCATAATTCTTCTTTGCCATGTAACAGCACATCCCCAGATTCTGGGGAAAGGATGTGGACATCTTTAGGGGACTGTTATACTGCCTACTACAGTCTGCCCTCTGGCCCCCAAAGATTCATGACTATCCCACAGACAAATACATTCACTTCATCCCAGAGTCTCATCCCATTATAGCATCAACTCAAAGTAAAAAAAATTCTCAGCAGCTCAGAAGTCCCAAAGCTTATCATCTAAACCAGGTAGAGAGAGGCTCTGAGAATAATTCATCCTTGGGCACAGTTCCTTCCTGTCTGCGAACCTGTAAAACTCAAGAAACGAATTACCTGTTCCCAAAATACAGTGGTGGGTTGGGCATACGATAAAAGTTATAGACTTTCCCATTCAAAAAGGAGAAAGTGAAAGGAAAAAGAAGTCACTGGTCCCAGGCAATTTCAAAATTCAGCAATTTCTAGGCCTGGAAATAATCCCCCTGGGCTTGTGGCTCCACCCGCCGGGCTCAAG